CACCTGGGCTGAATCTTTGGATTAACCGTTCTATATTTTCCTCTTTTTGATTTATCTTCACCTCACACTACCACCTCTTCTTTATTATGTCAACTTTTTCTTTTTCTTTTTCTTTCACTTCCCTTACTTTTTACGCCTTGTGATGGGTGACAAACGGATGACCAAACAGACACAGCATTTCTCTCACATATACTTTGTCGAGGAGACCGGAGTTTTTTAGGATATACACTTATTTTATTCTCATTATATTATTTGTTTTTACTTGCTTTCTTCCTAGCCATCTCCTTTTGTCTTGGTGTAGCTTTTTTCTGTTCCATTTTTCCGTTTTGTTCTGTGTCCTTGAGCTTCTGCTTCTTCAGGATTGCCTTTCGTGTTCAAGACTAAATACCGATTCAACTTGTCTTGAGCTATAAGCTTGAAAGATAGAGTAAAGAGAAAAATGGAATGTTTGGATTGTTTTATTGTTCGCCTTCTTCCCTCTAACCTTCACCCCTTCTTTATTTTCTCTTCTATTTTATCTGAGATGCAGGACCTGTTCTGGCTCCGGACAATCCTTGGGCTTTATATACACGCCATGACAGAGGTCCACATGGGCCATGGTTTCTGTCCGATCCTATGTGGAATGGGTCTATGAAATCCTCTAGCCAGAGCGAACCTAGCTTGGCATGGGAGGAGCTATCAGAACGTCGAACAATACGTACCAGAAAAGGCGATGGATGTCTGGCTCTGTCAGATCGGGAAACTTTGGGCGAAAAGAGTTATTCCATTCATCGTCATAATAATTGCTAACTAGACCCAACTCCAGATCATCATATCTAGTTACATCCAGTCGCTCTCTCGATGGCATATTTCATTCCGAGCAACGCTCCAAGGATCAAATTTCTCCTTTAAAGAGCGGCCCATTTCATTTCTCGGCTTCTACTTTTCCCTCGCGGGAAAACTACCTCCCCACATTCGCTTCCCCCACTGTTTATTATTATTGTTCATTTCCAAGACGCCGCAACAAACGCTTCCAAATCCTCCATGAACAACTGCGGCTGTTCCAACGCTGCAAAATGCCCGCCCTGGAAAAGAATCAGCGTACCTAAAGTCAGCCCAACGACATCCATCCCATCCCAATTGAAAAAAAAGTATGGACGAGGAAAAAAAGGACAAAATAAAAGGGCCGGCCATACAGATAGATATGCGTACCTTGTCATGTTCCTTATAGAATACCATATCACCCAATTTCCCCGTCCATGCTGCCGGTGTGGGACAGATTTCCTTGGGGAAATACGAATACCCGAACGGCTTGTTCTGGGTTTGTGTCTCTAACAGCAGAGTCCGCTGGAAATTTACTAGTGGTTAGTATAGCATCGAAACACAACCCCTGAAATTCGCGAGAAAAAAAATAAATTTTAAGAAATAAAAATAAAATAAAAAATACTAACACTCCGATACGGATAAATCCCTCTCCCCATTGACTCCGTAAACCAATACAGCGTCACGCATCGCAAGATCTCCTCCGTCGACAGCGGCTCGTCCGACCAGGCTAGGAACTTCTCGCCCACCCACGCCAGCAGCGCGAGCGGGCTAGTGCCCAGCAGGAGACCGATGGTGCTGGGTCGCGTGCCGTGTGCCATCGAATATGCGTTGCCTGTTCTCTTCCATAGCTCGGCGCGCTGCATGCCTGCCCGTTCTGAGTCGGTTAGGGACCCGTCGGTGGCGATTCCGTCCGGGGGAGAGGTTATGGTTGGTGTTGGGTAGAAGTTGATGTGGAAGCCTGGTGGGTGGGTTGTGTTGTATGTTGGTATGGATTTTTCTTTTTTATCTTCTTTTTTTTTTTTTTTTTTTTTTTTTTTTTTTTTTTTTTTTTTTTTTTTTGTATTGTTGTATTTGTGGTTCTTAGGGTAGAGAGGGATGGGGGTTGAAGTTTCTTTTATTAATTTTATTCTTGGGTTATTTCTATATGACATACCTTTGCACGCGTCATAAAACTCACTCATTCTCCTTGCAACCATACTCCCGATGTCACCACCTTGCACCAGATAGCCTGAGGATTTAAACCCAAGATCCACCATGAGCTGGTGCATGATCTTGGCTACATCATTTTGGTCGAAGTTGCGCGTTAGCGGGGGTGCGGAGGAGAAGGCGTAGCCGGGTAAGGAGGGGACGATCAGATGATAAGGGAGGGTTTGAGGGGTGTATTTCTCCTTCATTAGGGTGAGGAGAGGGAGGTGTTCGAAAAAGCTTCCTGTTTTATTGAGTGATTTGGTTAGGTTATCTTTTTTTTTTTTTTTTTTTTTTTTTTTTTTTTTTTTTTTTTTGGGTTTTGGAGATCGTTCTGGTCGTCGGGGGGTGTATAGATCTGGGGTCTATAGATACCTGGCCAGCCATGGAGTATTGCAATGGGGATCGCATCAGCCTTCTGGGAGAATAGAGCGACGAAATGGATTTTAAATTCCTCATTCCCACCGGCGGGGAGATTGACTGTTGTCATGAAGTTGGGGAATGAGTTGATGTACTCCTCGGTTTTTCTCCTGTATGTAAAATATATCTGATTGTCAGCGTTTTTATATATTTATACAGCTAGCATCCCAGGAAGACTAAGAGCACAACCCCGCCCCCTCTCGAATAAAACCCATCACCTACAAATCCCAAAGCGACGCATAAAGAATCTATAGCATATAATGCCCATCCCCAGCTCGAAACCGGAGAATTTAACAAACAAGGGAAGAAACGTGAAGCATACCAATCAAAATTCCTCCTCCCAGTACTTCTTCGTCTCCACCAGCCACTTATGGCTAATCCCAAACTTCCCATCTTCCTGCAGACTCTCGTATGTTGGCACAGGGATCTTCGACAGCTTTAGCAGCGTCTTGAACTCGCTCAGCTGTTGCTCGGGGATTGAGACCTGGAAAGGTTCGGGGCGCTTGGTGGCCGTGGAGGGTAGGGTGGTGTAGTTTGCCATTTTTTTTAAAAAAAAAAAAATTTTCTTCCCTTGCCCCTTTTTTCTCAGGTTTGGTTTTTAAAATATTTTATTTGATATGCTGTTTATTTATTTATTTATTTATTATTACTTAGGTTTCTAGAATTTATACAGCTTACAAGTGCGATGTATGGCTTATTTATCTGGTTTCCTTGCCGGGCGATCGATCAAGTGCGACCTTCCGCCGGGTGAGGGGTTTGTTGTGGTTGTTGTCAAGCAGCCGTGCAACTTAACACCAGCAATCTTTATTATTAGACAACTTGCGGATGTATATCTATGTAATGTGCCGTGTTTGTTCTCAAGCATCTTCCTTATTGGGTTGACCGAGGATACCTTACCTTCATGAGAATGCTTTCGATCGGTGCTCCCACTCGACATCCCCCCAGAAAGAGAGCATATAACTATACGCGCTTTGCCGAGGTAAATGGATATCGCCTGAACTAAATTAAACTTTTCTACGGGCAGGTATGAGCATCTAGTCTATTTACCCAAGGTAAATAAATAAGCCATGCGCCGCGCCTGAGGTCGCCAAAATTTTTATTTGAAGAGCAATTTCAATAATAACAATAATGCTTCAAGTGTTGGATTATCAGGCTTCTGGGAAAGGATCCGGTCTACGGAGTATATATGGTTTTGGCAATGCTTTGACAGGAAAAGCTCTCCCTCGACCTATGGAAACTAACTGAAGTCTAACTTGCTAACTTTGTTGGGTCGCGCGCAGTAAAAAAAGAAACGGGCCGTATCGAATATCTATCTATTGTATCATCTTCTATATTTATTTTCTGTTCTAGTCACCCCGCCGAGAAATTCCAAAGGTTAAAATCTTTTTCGCGGAGATTGGACTGCGATTTGTCTACTGTAACTACGGCGTATAGATATTTTTCTTGCAGTAGTCAGAAAGAAAACGCACTGATTATTGTAGCAATAAAGCCGGGAATGTGTTGGAGTGAAATCTCATTCTTAGCATCATCACAGAAGATAGCGATATCGAATCAAATGGATATAATTAGTAAAAGGCATAAGGCAATAAAGGACAACTAGACCAAGAAATCAAACTACTCCCTAGGCCCAAAACGTATCTGTAGCTGGCTAGTGTATGTATAATCAATCAATCATGGATCAAAAAATAAGTGAAGTAAAATAAAAATAAAAATAAAACAACGGACAGCTGCGTGGTTAACATAAAGCATGATTACCCATCCATATGAGCATTAGCGCTAGCATCATTATGATTGTTGCTGACCGGCTGAGCACCAAGCACCCACCCAAGCCCAGTCGCCAACCCACCCGTCACCATACTACTAACAACGTCCCTCTTCCTAACCCGTCCACCGCCACCCCCTTCACCACCACTCCCATCTTCCGTGCCCATGGTATCCATACTAATACGTCTCGAATCGCTCGAAGCACGGCCGGCACCGGAAGCAGCCTCAGGCCCACGGAGCGGAAACGCGGTCTTGCTAATCGCCTGTGCCGCGCCACGCGCCACTTCGAATAAGCCCATGGGCGCCTCTTCATAACCGCCTGCGAAGTGGGATGCGCGTTTGCCATGTCCCGTGCGCGACCGCTTAGCTTGTTCGGTTTCTAGAGCATCGAGCTCAGCATCGGACGGGCCAAAACCGCCGGGTAAGTTTGAGTTGGAGGTTATGCTATCGCCACGCGTGTCCCAGCTTTCGGCCTCTGCCGTCTCTTGTGCGCGGAGAGATGTCATCTCTTCATCACAGCGGCGCCATACGGCGAGGATTTCTGGGAGGTTCTCGGGCGAGGGTGCGAGTATTAGCGCTAGAGAGAGTAATTCCATCCGCTGGGTAAGGCGGAGGATTTGAGATTGGAGTGTTTTGTTGGTTGGTTCGGCGATGCTTGAGCGATGTCGGCCCGCATTATACGCAGCGCGCCATGATACATCATCATCACCCATAGCAGTCGCAGAGTTTGATGTAATTGATGGTGGAGCTAAGCGAGTCAGAACATAGGAATAAGCAGTGTCGAAATCATTGGATTCTAGGGCCGCGGAGATGGAGAGCGATATGATTCGGTGATCTGAAGCTAGCAATTCTTCTTCGCGAGACGGGGCTTTTTTGTTGTGCATGGGGTCATCGTTGTCTCTGGGACGCGCAGGGAAGCCTGCTGTAACGAGATGTCGACCAATTGTAATTAGGTTGTCGAGTTCCGTATACGCCTTAGGGTTTTGCTCAAGCACTTTGCCAATCAATGAAAGGGGATCATGATGGGCACGGATGCTGACAGGCTGGAATGGGACGCCATGTTGCAACGTGAGAGAATAAAATGATAGTGAATGTGTGGCGGATATCAACGCCTTGATTTGGCGGATTGATTCAGAATGTGGGAAGTAAGGTCCAAATGATTTGAGCCTGTCATGAAAAAGTCAACAAACTAGTTGCCAAAAGCCAGGGTGAAGCGGACGTACATTTCTGAAGCTCGTTTTATTCCGCCTCTCGTTTTATTTCCATTGGTGGCATTATCGTAGGATGTGAATATTGCGTCTGTCACTGCAAGCTCAACTTGTGCTGGTGGGAGAGGGGACGAGGATAGATTTTTGGCGTAGAGCTCAACGGCAAGCTCGTATTCTGCGCTTGGTTAGATGATGAGTCTTCTTTACCGCGGGAAGCAACAACAACTTACGCCTTGCGTTCAACATGGCTTTCAAGACATCCCCCTCGAGGAGAACCAGGGGAACGCGCCAGAACAGCCCATGACCAGGACTGGATTTAGCTTCCCGTTCCTCGGGCTGAACAGAATATCCCCAATCTCTCAACCAGAGTAGCTGCGACCTGATTTTCCGCCAGTCGCGTCCCGTTTTATGATCCCGTTGCAAGGTCTCGAAAACACTGCGTAGCTCTGAGAGCTGCATTTCGTCACTAGCAAGTAGACAAATATTCGCGGCGCCCCTGCATGACATTGCATGGCCGAAGCTATTTAAAGTACGAATAGAAACAAGAATGGCGTCAGTAAACGCAATTGTGTGAGTAGTAGGGAATGTGAGAGGATTGGAACGCTCTAGTAGAGCATTCTGGAGGATGGCACCCCGAGATACATCCGAAAGGGCAGTTAGGTCGAGATTGAGAGGTTCGAGATCGTTTTCAAAGATGCGCAAGATAGAGTGACCAGGAATCTCAAGCAGAGACGCAATCCTATATAAAATCCGGCAGGATCCATCGAGAGTTTCTGGGGTGGCTTCGGTGGTGGCATATATAGCAGCCAGCGCAGCTTGACCATAGTTCAGAGCCAGCTGGTTGTCGGCATGGAGTGACACCAACCCTTGGGGTTTATTATTACCGCCAAAATCTATATCCTCCGGACCTGCCCATTGCTCTACTGCTTCAACAGCCAAGTGGAAGTCCCGTATACTAGTCGACAGGATCCACTCATTAACATCTTGCCATCCGGTTCTGTCAGACACACTCGAAGGATTTCGGTTATCAAATATGGCAATTGACCCCGAATGTTCAAGTTGATTGAGTTTCCGCCTTTTCGATCTCGCATGGCCGTACATCCAAGGGCCAACTAGTCCCCGCAAGTCTCTGCCTACATCTCCACCCCTTTCTCGTCGATCAGTTTTTGACAGCAGGACATTGACGGCGCTTCCCGAATCCAGTGACTCTATTATCTCTAAAGATAATTCAACGCCGTTCTCGCAATGATATTCGTAGTTGAACCGAAGTAGAGGTAGCGCGGTCGATATGACCCATGTTTGCAGGTACTCCGATGTATCAAGGAATGGCTGTAGGAGCTCGATAATAAACGGTTGTAACCCCGACTCGTTGTCTATTCTGTGTGCTCGATGGATGAGGAATTGAACCAGCGGGCTACCTGATTCCTCCTCTGTATTCCCGGGGTATCGAAGCGGTAAGAGATGTAGTCGTTGGACCTCCTTCCTTGCTGCAGATGTAGACAACTCGCCCACTGAAGCTACATCAAAATCGTCATTTTCTTCCACAGGCTGAGGCGAAGATCCGTTGGCTAGGTCCTCGATAACAGAGATATATCGGGAAGGCTCTGTGCTCTCAGGCAGAAAGGACAATATGATGCGGAAGAATATATCCGTGCTGGGAGCACCACGGAAATGGGTTTGTAAACGTGGCAATGCGGACACATCGCCGTTCACGCAGAGTTGAACGGCAAGGAGGATAAGATGGGCATCGGACAATTCTGCAAGGGCTTTCATGGTGGTACTCTTCTCATGGCGAATATGGACATTTCAAGAAGCGTTGAATAGAGGCACACGGAAATATGGTGTAGATGTATGTATGTGCACTGTCTGTTGCTTCCTGACGTTGAGGCTGTTGGTCCAAGCTCGGGCCAATCGGCGCTCGTGCTGGAACAAATGACAAACTGCCCGAGAAAGAGCCTCAACCTACTTCCAACTCCTTTGTCTCCCCCTCAGCGCAAGCAATCAGCTATCTCACCCCTCGCGATTGAAGCTTCTATTGGTACTTTACAATGGCATCAGGCTATGGCCTCAATGGCGGTATGTGTCCTTTTTACGGCTGGTGTTAAAGCATTTACCCATTCCGCACTTTCTGACCCCATGAATCCGCGCTCTGTTCGTGCATCGGCTTCCGACCCATTGACTAACATCCAACCCTCTCCTCCGCCATCTATTCAGGCCCGTCCCGCTGCTTTCCCTTCTGGCAAGAACTCCTCGGTTGCTACGTAATTAATGCCAGTGAAGGGGATACAGGAAAGTTGAAGTGTGTCCCGGCACTGGAGGATTACAACGAATGTTTGCATCATAGAAAAGAGGTAAGGTTTTTCTAGGGAACCGCTGCCATCGAGAATATGTATATTCGGACAATATCTATCTACGAGCTATTTAGACCACGTTGGGGAATAACGGGAATGATCCTCGTGGCTAACCGAAAATTACGACATCCAGGCAGCGCGAATTCGGGCCATGCAACAGGCATACCGGAAGGCAGAGGCGTCACATCCCAGAGAGAATGCGCCAAAGGCGGAACAAATCCGTTCGTTAGGATTACTGGGCAAGGACGAGGAATCAAAGGCAATACTGGCGGCTCGATGATCCTGTGTGTTAGGAGGGGACGGGAGATTTTAGCATGCATTTGGGGAGATATTTTTCTGTTTTCATATGGGCTGGGTTTTGCACTTTTCCCCCTCTTTTTTTCTTTTAGCAGATTTCCTGTGTCTGGCTTTCACCCAATGGGTTTTACAAAGGGAGCGGTGGTAGCGGGATGAGTTGTATAGCAATATCTATGAAAGAAAAACTATGATATATGTATTTTCTACTACATATGAAGAAGGCAAATATTATAGTGTTCCATTTGTCCGTTTACAGAGATACTCTCATTCAATTTTACGCTGGCTTTTGATAGATTGTTATTACCCTGTGCAGTGCCTAATGTCAGTGGCAGCATCGGCCAGGCTTGGTGCAAAGGCTTCCTTTGCCGATAAAAATATGGGGTTGATGAAACCTATCCAACGTAGTACGTAGATTGGTTCTGGTTGCCGTTCTCTTCGTGGTTCTTCTTTGTATTCCATCAATTAAATAGCCCTAAATTTATTTATTTTTCCATTCGATACACTGATTGATATCCTTGGTCAATGGGAGCATTTCCCCAAATTCGACGCTAATCTAACGCTTCCGGAAGACTCCTATTGGGCTAAATCGACGGTATTTCTCCTTATTCCATTGTTTTGGCGAAGTTAGTGACCGATACAAGTAAGTCTGACGGATATTGGAGTGCAGAGCAGTTATGGAGTTAATATTTCCCGAAGGATCGACACTGACACAGCTTAAGGATGCCAATTATTGCCGGGCAAGCTTTTTTGGGTGATGGAGGTATTTATTTGATCTGAAAAGTGATAACGCTCTTGGATGAAGGTAAGTGAACAGAGGGCATCTTCGATGAGGCTAGCTCAGTAACCCGTACTCCGTACTCCGTACATACTCATCGAATGCTAAAAACAGTAACAGTAATGCCGGCGCAGCATTGGCCGCGCGGTGGGTGTAGGAAGAGAAGGGAATAGCGGGATATTATCATGGAGTCAGAATATGTAGCTGCGTACCCATCATCCCAATACATAATAATAATAATAATTAGGAAAGAGGCCTGAACTCGTAAGGAACCAGCGTTGAAGTAGTCCGTAGGCGACTGGCCCTTGGCCCTTGGCTTTGGGTAACTGAGCTTTGTTCAACAATCCCAACTTCGGAGTCTCAAAAGTGAAGAGGATACCCAACACCCGCTTGGAAGGAGACCAACATCGGATAGGGCACCTCGGAACTATGCAGAGTCTGCTCGATTGATGCTTGTAGATGGTTGTTGAGTTGTTGAGCGGGCGACGGGATTTGCGATTTGCCCTGCCGTGGCCGATCCATGATCAGCAAATGGTCCAGATTGGATTAGGGGGCAACATCACGTGATGCGCTACTACAAGCCTCGCCCGGGATTACCAGGCACTAGGCCGCAAACAGCAAGCTTAGCGAGGCGCAAACATGGGTAGGCGCGCTGGCTGGAGGGCTGTCCCAATGATATAAACATCCTGCGCGACCTCGACAATTTTTTTCTCAGATCCAGCACCCAAGAAACTATTAACACTATTAACCCGGTCCACTCCCCAGAGGCCTACCTACCACCCGCCCCGACAGCCACTGCTGCTACTGCTTGCTCCACCTTTACTTCTGTGCATGCTTTTGCTTATTTATTATTTTATTTTCTCAACTAGAACAAGGACAACCACCCAGCTGCGGGTCTCAATAATAGAGGCATTCACTATATTATTCATATTATTAATATTTTTTTTTTTTTCTTTCGTGTTATGATGGGTATTGTGATGGGCTTTCCCCGGCTACAACCATTACCCCCTACAATTGCCTCACCTCGTTTTCCTCTTATATTATCTTGACTGGGCTCCCTACTCATTGATCCCTGCCCTATCACGTTTTATTTACTCTTTTTCTTTTCCTTTTTTTCCCCCTATTCTTGCCTGCCGGTCCCGTGACTCGCAATGACTTCCAGGTACGTTCAATGTTCTTCCACCAATCACATCTGGTTATATGCTGCTGAGCCACATAACTAACTTTTTTGGGTTAGGCTTGATCGACTTGTCACGTGAGTTTTATCACTCGCCACTCTCAATTTTTGTTGGCTCATCCTGAAACTGACCCATCACACGGCGTAATACAGTCTTCTGGAAACAGGAAGCACTCCCCTTATCAGAAACACTGCGGCGCAGCAGCTTGCAGATGTCCAGAAACAACATCCAGATGAATTGTTCAATCTTTTAGGTCGAATCTTGCCATATCTGCGGTCCAGATCATGGGACACCCGGACTGCAGCTGCTAAGGCAATAGGCGGCATTGTAGGGTACGCTGAGCGCTTTGATCCCAATGCTGATGAAGGCCCCAAGTCCGCGGAGGATGTTGTCGGCGAAGATGATGATGTGTCTCCAGCAGTCAAGAAGGAAGAGGATAAGGAAGTAGCAGAAAATGCTGTTTCCGAAGACCTCCTCGACGTAGATACTCTTGATATCAGCTCCATTCTGAAGTTTGGACACAAGCTCCTGGGTAGTGCCGGTAAAGAATATGAATATTCGCTGGCTGGGTTGGATGCGGCCTCGAGGCTTCAGCATCAGAAGAAGACACTGGCCTCGCGCCTAGGACTTGGGGGGGAGTATATGCAAGAGGATTTGGTCAATGAGGCTGATTTCGCTACCCAACCACAGCATAAGGTCTCAGGTCCTAAGCTCGAGATCGCAATTCCATCTGTCTCTCGCAAAAGCAGCACACAGAGTAATCCATCTTGTGCTATGGCTTCCCCACATGACCCTATGCAAGCCACCCCCACCAATGGCGATGACCAGGGGCTTAGCAAGCGGCAACTGAACCAGTTAAAGAGAAAGAATAAACAAAATGCCAAAATGGGAGCCAATAAAATTCGAGTCGTCGATTTGGCTGTGCGGAAGCATTCTGATGCCATATCAACCCCTATCACCGCTTCTACTCCGCATGCTGTCAAAAAGGAGGAAGACGGCGATGATAGCAATGGTGATAAAAAGCTGGATTACTTTTCGCTGGAGAGAACTGAGCCAGACGATGACAGTAAAATCGTATCGGAATTCAAAGGGCCCGTCATCCCTGAAAAACCAGTAATTCAGACTGATGCAGAGGAAGAAGGTTTGGAATGGCCATATGAAAGAATGTGCGAATTTCTGATGGTTGATTTGTTTGACCCTAGCTGGGAGATTCGTCACGGTGCGGCCATGGGTCTGCGGGAAGTCATTCGTGTCCAAGGTGCTGGAGCCGGGCGAGTTCGTGGTAAATCGAGACGCCAGAACGACATGTTCAATCATCGGTGGCTGAATGACCTGGCCTGCCGACTTCTCTGCGTTTTCTTACTAGATCGCTTCGGTGACTACATTTCGGACAATGTAGTCGCCCCGATTCGTGAAACCGTCGGCCAAACCCTGGCTGCCCTTCTATTACATCTTCCCACAAGATCCTTGGCTTCTGTTTATCGCATTCTGTATAGAATGATCATGCAAAACGATCTCGGTCTTTCTAGTCCTATTTGGGAAGTGTGCCATGGCGGTATGATCGGACTCAAGTACCTGGTTGCTGTCCGGACTGATGTTCTCTTAAAGGAACCCGAAATCCTCGATGGGGTTATTGCTGCCGTGATGAAAGGGTTGGGCGATTACGACGACGATGTCCGTGCTGTCAGCGCCGCTACATTAGTTCCTATCGCAGAGGATTTCGTGAGACTTCGACCTGGGTCTCTAAACTCGCTGATTAACATCGTGTGGGAGTGCCTCTCTAATCTCCAAGATGATCTTAGTGCTAGCACAGGATCTGTTATGGACCTACTCTCCAAACTTTGCACATTCCCTCAGGTCCTTAAAGCGATGAAAACAAACGCTGCTCAAGACTCCGAATCGTCCTTTGGAAACCTTGTCCCGAGGCTGTTCCCATTTTTACGCCACACCATCACCAGTGTGCGTTCTGCAGTACTTCGAGCTTTACTCACTTTCCTGAAACTTGATAGCGAGAGACAAAACGCATGGGCTGATGGGAAAGCAATGCGGCTTATTTTTCAAAACCTGCTTGTTGAACGGAACGAGGGCGTTCTCAAATTGTCACTCCAAGTCTGGGTTGAGTTGCTCCAGGCATTGGAAGACCGTGGCCTGTTCAGAACAGATGATGAACTCCTGCCATCTCTTCAGCCGCTCATCACATTAACCATGAGCCCTTTTGGCGTACCGCGATACCCTATTCCTATGGATGCTTCTCTTTTTATTCGACCATCTGGACTACCCTACACTTCCGCTGGCGTTCCTCCAAGAAAACCCTCCCCCACTACGATAGCCCCAGAACCATCTGTCAAGGGCCGAAGACGAAAGGCTGAGAAAAAGGATACCACAGCAGTTTTCACTCACAATGTAGATGGTCACATGTTACAAGGCGACATTGATCTCGTCGGGGTGGAAACGGTTATTAGGTCAAAGATCTACGCTGCAACTGCTCTGGGCCGATTTTTGTCTACTTGGGATAGCAATGACCGTTCAAATATATGGCAGACCATTTTACCTTATCTAAAGGCGCCTGGCTCGAGTTCACAACTAGTGGCTGCCATGGTTACCGTTGAGTATGCGAAAATACAAGGAGCCAAGACCAGATATGTTTCTCTGTTATCTCAATCGTTAAATCCAGTGATTGAAAATGAGAGGCCGTCGTGGTATAGCGATATAGCGAGTTATTTACATATTGCCCGTGCACAGTGTCATTCCCTCCTCAACGCCTTCAGGGACCATGCACACGTTTCACAATTCTCCCTTCCGATGCTGGCAGTCATCGTCCAAGGAGATCAAGACGCCGGCCCCAGCGCCTTTTCCATTTCGGATGCCGAAAAGGTTCTTGGGCCTGATTTTGAAAAACTCAAACGGAGCCTTTCCCCAGCACAGAGAATGACCGCGCTTCAGGTCCTTAATGATTCGCGAGCAAGTGCATTAACAGCCGTTGAAGAAGCTAAGGAGGTTAAAGACCAACGGGATATGAGAATTAGAGCCGCGGCGGCAAGCGCACTCGTCGCTCTTCATGACATCCCCAGGAAGCCAAGCCAGATTATTAAGGGGATGATGGACAGTGTCAAGAAAGAGGAAAACGTTGAACTGCAGCAAAGATCAGCCTCAGCTGTTGCGTCTCTTGTACAGTACTATACGAGTGCCTCTAGACGTGGCCCTGTGGATAAGGTGATTGGAAATCTTGTCAAGTTTTGCTGCATCGACACTTCGGAGACACCGGAGTTCCATCACAACGCTGGCCTGGAAACGGCAATTCTATCGCTTCGAAAGGAAGAGGATAAGAAAGACCATCTTGACGCTACGAGATTCGAGCAGGAGTCTCGGGAAGCTCGAATCATGCGACGAGGTGCTAAGGAAGCGTTGGAGCAACTGGCGTGTAGGTTCGGTGCGGAGTTATTGGATAAGGTCCCTAACCTCGCGAGCCTGATTGAAGGTCCCCTACGACGCGCTCTTACTGGAGACCTCCCACCCGATATCACGGACCCCAACAGCCAAACTGGTCAGGAAGTTGTTGATGGATTATCGACGCTGCGAGCGCTAGTTCCTAAATTCCATCCTGGCATCTATCCCTGGATTATCAGCCTTATGCCAATCATTGCAAAGTCCCTTCAATGCAAATTGTCTGTCATTCGGTATGCGGCTGCCAAATGCTTTGCCACTATATGCAGTGTTATAACCGTTGAAGGAATGACAATGCTCGTGGAGAAGGTGTTGCCTAACATAAACAATGCGTTGGATGTTCACTGTCGGCAGGGAGTCATTGAATGCATCTACCATCTGATACATGTCATGGAAGATAATATTTTGCCTTACGTTATTTTCCTTATAGTCCCTGTTCTTGGGCGAATGAGTGATTCTGACAATGATGTAAGACTCCTTGCCACGACTGCCTTTGCGACGCTGGTCAAACTGGTTCCTCTGGAAGCTGGAATCCCTGACCCACCCGGTTTATCGGAGGAGCTCTTGAAAGGACGGGATCGGGAGCGGCAATTCATGGCCCAAATGCTCGACGTCCACAAGATCGAGCCATTTGAGATCCCCGTAGCTATCAAGGCGGAACTCCGTTCTTACCAGCAAGAGGGTGTTAACTGGCTGGCTTTCCTTAACCGGTACCACCTCCATGGAATCCTCTGTGACGACATGGGTCTTGGAAAGACCCTTCAAACTCTTTGTATCGTGGCTAGCGATCATCATATGAGAAAAGAAGAGTTCGCGCGGTCGGGTGCACCTGAAGCACGGAGATTGCCCTCATTGATCATATGTCCACCGACTCTTTCTGGGCATTGGCAGCAGGAAATAAAGCAGTATGCTCCTTTCTTATCGTGTCTAGCATATGTAGGCCCTCCCGCCGAACGTTCAAGACTTCAGAACTCTTTAGGCTCGGTGGATGTCGTCATAACATCTTATGATATTTGCCGGAACGACAATGACGTTTTCGCGCCGCTCAATTGGAACTACTGCGTTTTGGATGAAGGCCATTTGATCAAGAACCCCAAGGCGAAGATTACACTGGCCGTTAAACGGCTCAAGAGTAATCATCGGTTGATATTATCAGGCACTCCAATCCAGAATAACGTGTTGGAACTCTGGTCGCTATTCGACTTCTTAATGCCTGGCTTCCTCGGGACTGAGAAAGTTTTCCTGGACCGCTTCGCGAAACCCATTGCTGCGAGTCGATTCAGCAAGTCCTCTTCGAAAGAACAGGAGGCTGGTGCCTTAGCTATTGAAGCGTTGCATAAACAAGTATTGCCATTCCTCCTGCGGCGATTGAAGGAGGAAGTCCTGAACGACCTACCACCAAAGATCCTCCAAAACTATTACTGTGACCTCAGCGACCTGCAGCGGCAATTGTTCGAGGACTTCACGAAAAAAGAACAGAAGGATATCGCTAAGATAGTTGGCAGTACCGATAAGGAGGCGAAGCAGCATATCTTCCAAGCCCTACAGTACATGCGCCGCCTTTGCAACTCTCCCGCCCTAGTCGTCAAAGAAAACCACAAGCGATACGATGAAATCCAGAAGTCCCTCGCGGGAAAGAATTCTCATATTCGTGATGTCGCACACGCACCTAAGCTGACTGCTCTTCGCGATCTACTCGTAGACTGTGGCATTGGCGTTGACCCCTCCACCGAAGGTGAATTGGACACAGGAGCCAGCTACGTCAGCCCGCACCGTGCCCTCGTTTTCTGCCAGATGAAAGAAATGCTGGATATCGTACAGAATGACGTTCTCAAGAAGTTACTGCCATCAGTTCAGTATCTCCGACTAGATGGCAGTGTGGAGGCGACCAAGCGACAGAACATCGTGAACCAGTTTAACACTGATCCCAGCTACGACGTCCTCCTGCTCACAACCAGTGTTGGTGGTCTCGGTTTGAATCTGACGGGTGCGGATACCGTAATTTTCGTTGAACATGACTGGAATCCGCAGAAAGATATCCAAGCTATGGATCGCGCGCATCGTATTGGGCAGAAGAAAGTCGTTAATGTATACCGGCTGATCACGAGAGGCACTCTGGAGGAAAAGATATTGAAGTAAGTATTTATCTATTTGAGACCACCCAGCCTTAAGAAAGTAGAAAATGAAATATATGTAATGTCCTATACTAACAGACCACGTAATACCACAGCCTCCAACGATTCAAAATCGACGTAGCCTCAACTGTCGTTAACCAACAAAACGCCGGCCTGAGCACCATGGACACAGACCAACTACTAGACCTTTTCAACCTGGGCGAAACTGCCGAGGGCGCTGAGAAACCCAGCCAGGATGGCGGGGTGGGCGGTAATGAGATTGACATGGTCGATATCGATGGCGAAGTTAAGGAGAAGGGCAAGAAGGGTTGGCTTGATGATCTTGGCGAGCTCTGGGATGACAGACAGTACCAGGAGGAATATAATTTGGATTCCTTCTTGGCAACTATGAAGGGCTAGGAATTTATCCGCGAGTTATGAATGTAAAGGGGAATGGAGACTTTTTTTATTTTAATTTTAATTTTAATTTTTTATTGTTATTTTATTGGCTATTTTCGTTTGTTGCGCGGGCCGGGGGTGAGTAGGGAAACGGTGGAGGCGTGCCTGGTTTCTTTCTTTCTCCTGTATTATTTTTGTTCATTATCTTATTTTCCTTTCTGCTGGCGAAGCGGTGGTATTGGTCAATCGGTGGGAGGAGGGGTGTTTTGGACCTTTCGAGCTGTCTTCTTTTTGATGCTCAGCTAGGTTATATAGAGTGGGAAAAGGGAAAATGGAAAGCGAAAATCTAGCTTGGGGATGAATTTATGGGATGCAAATTTTCTGATTCGTTTTTCTCTTTTAGGCTCCGCCCTTCCTGATTGGGATACAAAACTCGATGTTGTCGGCTGATTTCGCTGTATTTGCCAATAGGGGGTTTCGCGGTCTTTTGTTGCCTTGCTCCCATTCTTGTTTCTTTCTTCTTCATTTCACCTTTCACAAATATATTGATACCCCCCCTTGGAAAGCTGTTCACCCTTAGCTTGAACCTGTTCGCTCCAACTCTAATTGGTCAAGATGTTCATGATTATCATACCCCGTGGACAATTGATCGTCTGAAAGAATGATATGGTTTGAAAAAGCATGATTGATTCCTAGTGGCTAGCTTTCAAATTACATAAGAAGCATGAGCTTGTAGTTAGTTCTCCCCTGTCCTCTAACAATTGATGGGATAAATCCCAATTGGGAATAAAGGGGGAAGGGTATGAAAAACACAACGGATAAAACAAGGCAGAAGAGGCAGGAGCTGAAAGTATCAGAGTAGGCCACAAGTCCACTGAGCAGACAGAGAACTTGCCAAATAACAAAGTTGGAGAACTTATACCGAACAACAATCGTGGAGGGTAGTAATGTAGTTGCTGAAAATATCCTCCACTTCCAATTCGCATTTCGAGCTTTCCGCGAGCTAAAGCAAAAAGGGAAAAAAAAAAGAGAGAGAAAATACTCCTTCATGATATGCCTATGAGATACAAGGAATACCAAGTCAAAGAGTGGCATAAAGACCCAAAGACCCAAACATATGCTGCAACATTCGGGTAGTGATAATTAAAAAGAATCATGAAGAGGAGAAATGAGCAAACCTTTGCAAACTCCACCTCTGATAAATAATCACCCATCCACACCAACCAGGACCAACCAACATTTAAAACCTGATAGTCCATAAATAAATTAAATTAAAAAAAAAAAAAAAAAAAAAAAAAAAAAAAAAAAAAAAAGGGAAAACGGAAAACAGTTAAAACCAACCGTTATTGGAGTCCGAGTGCCAAAAACGGCATAAACAAAGCAAGATAAGAAAGATGCAAAGTGAGACTAGCATTAAATAGTGCCCACAATAAAATGTTTAGTTATTTTTTAGACAACATGTAGAGAAGCGAAGAGTGTGAAACTAGTTATGTTAACAAGAAGTTCGGAACTAGCGGCGTGTCTTCGGCTTTGAAAGCATATTTAGGCGGCTCATGCTCAAGACACCTCTACTTTTCTGTATTGACCGACTTGGGGTTCCAATACCCGGAGTTCCATGTTGCATTGGGCGGTTCTTGATTGGGCTTGGCGTATGAATATTTGTGATGGCAGGGGTAGGTTTCAGCCTCTTTTGGCTCCGCTCATCGCACTTCGAGTTCTCTGGCATCTTGTTTTCAACATCCTCGTCATCCTCTTCATCGCGTCGTCGTTTTTTGTTCATGATGCCGTGAGGAATGGTTGCGTGGTTTGGAAATGACGGATATTGAACTTCAGATGCGCCTACAGCTCTGATTGTAGGACTGTTTCCAAAGGCGAGTTTTGCAGCTTTACTAGACTTCGGAGGTGTTGTTGGCGGAAGAGTTGGATAGGAAATCACTCCTGATTTTGCTGGCTCAGGAGGTAAATTTTTGGAAGACGTTGTTGGGGATAGATCCGCAAACGCATGACGGACTTTGGTGCTGGCAGAAAAATCGACATGCTTTTTTACAGTTGGGGCCTCTTGTATGTTAAAAGTTTTCGCTGGCGGCGCTACATGAGTACCTGCAGCAATCTTAACAGGGTCGTTTGAGAAAAGGGGTTGACGTCGCCGGAGAATTGACTTGAGGTTGGTAAGGCTTGGTAGTGTAGTTTTGAGTTTTGGATTGAACTCTGTTTGCGGAGTTCGTGGGGCAACGATTGACTTCGTTGAAGGGGAGCAGGGGAAGTTCGGAATTCTGGTGGTCTTGATTTGTTTCACGCTTGACGCACGGGAAATCGCTGATTTCGTTGGGGTAGTTAAAGACCGCGGGTCGTCTTGCCCAGATTTGGGATCGAGTTTATTATCGGACAGTCCGTCCTTGAACAAAGGTTTTCGGGCCGGTGTGCTGTCGATATTGGAAGACTTTGAGCGCTTGACTGGGTTATTTGCAATCGTCTTTGTAGGAGACGCGAAGGAAGCCGTCGACTTCACAGAAGAAGCTACCTCATCAAGGCAGGCTTTAGAGCTGGTTCTCTTGAGAGATGGTTTAACTGGTGAGGGATGAATCCTTTCCTGGCGTACTCTAAATGAAGAAGGGTGTCCAGCAATCGAATCCATCTTTTTGAATTCCGCCATATGAGCATTGCTGAACCGTCCTGCTTTCCCTTTTGCTTTCGCAATCTTTCTGACCCCAAATGCTTGCCCAGCCTCCGTAGATTTGTGTTTCTGCGCGTTTTGTTCCATTATCATTTGTGCCTTAATCCTGGACGCGTCTTCTCGGATATTTTCCATAAGCTTTTGGGCTTCCTCACTAAGCTGTGAATCCTCACAGGAGAACTGTATGCTAAAGCTCGGAGTGTCTAGCTGGTCTGCCACTGACAGTCTGGATTTCGTTGGAGTTGCGGCTGATGCGTTTGAAGGATGATGGGGATCTTTCTGGATGGGTTTAAATCCCAAGCAAACGCCTGAGTCAGGTTTTTTTGGGGTGGTGTGGTGCACTTTGCTGAGTAGCATCTCCCCGAGGCCTAATTTCAATGCTCCTACCGTCTTTGGAGTTTTCAGAGATGCGTTTGAAGGAGGCCCCGCAGCTGGAGTAATGGAAGTGGAATGGGTCGGAGGGGTTGCGGGAACAGTTCGACTGTTTTCCGGGGAGCACAAGACCGGGTTTTCATCGCGTTCGGCGACCGAGACGAGCTTGGTGGAATGCTTAGAGGCTTGCTTTTGGGGCTGGAGCAAGATCTAGATCAGTTTTTGCATTCAAATGCCTTGTAAAAATAAAGTTTCAACAAATCTGTGCCAAGTTTCCAACTCACCTCACTTGCTGGAGTAATAGATCTGAGACGGGCAGACCGCCGCACTGGAGTCGCCATGTTGGCGTGGACAGGTACCTCCTCAATGGCTTGAAAATTGAAGATAAACCCTACTAAGAGAGAGGACGCGCACCTTAAAAGGAAATCGAGCAGAGTATACGGACAGACATGAAGCGATGAGATGTGGTGGGGGAGCCGTTGCTGGTGAGCTGTCCAGGATGTGATCGTGAAGATGTTCTGAGAAGAGCTCTGATAGGCAGAGTAAACAAACAACAGCCCGCTTTTCCTAATCGGGTAAATATGACTTCATCTCTCCGCCCTAGCAACGTGAACAACAACACAATTATTCTTTATGGTTCCGCTAGTCCTCAAAGGCAATAGATACTATGGAAATTCAAGGATTGAAAGTATGTCAACAAATGTCTTATTTTGGACCCTTGAACTCATGACCCAAATAATACAATCTGATGTGTAGATGATGCCAAAACCAATGAGTTATTTAACAGGCAGGTAAAATTCAAACAGAACAAAGCTACTACGTAGTATGGACTTGGAACAAATAGAGCTTGACCGTGAAATTCATATCAAGTTATAGGCCGAACGGGTATGTTTCATCCACACCAAGAGCTGTGTGCGGCTGTGCTATCTCAAAAGGCGTAACGGCACGAGTTTCATCAAACCACACCATGGCGTCAAATTGACGAGAAAGAGACGCTGAGGAATAATGAGACATGACCTCGGTTAAGGGCCGATATACCACCCCGATAAAACGTTGTTTTCGCTCCTGGGCCAAAGCTCGCCGGAGATCGGGGTCTGCATGATTAGGTCGAAGGTCCAATAGAAAACTTGGGATGCCAGTTTCGTGTGCCACGTACTCCCAGCTATCAGGCTGGGATGGATTTACTTTCATCACTTGGACATCCTCATCCCAGTCATGCGCAGCAGCAACGGTACCTGTATGTGTGCAGCAACCAACAAGAACAACATTCTCCTGCCCAAGATTCTCGCGGCACAACTGGCCAAGGTTGAGCTCGCCACGTCGAGTACCCATGCTTGTATATCTAGCATCGCCAATGTGGCTGTTATGTGCCCAAACAACCGCTTTGGAGGACTCCGGTTTGACGTTAAGCAAGCGGCGCAGTGTCTCAAACATATGGGAGTCTCTGAGAGACCACGAATCCGCTGACCTGACGTACATTGCTTTGTAGTACGCCTCAGCATCTGCAACTAGGTAGGCATTCTGCTCAGAGCTGTGAAATTCCTCGCCATTATGCTCATGCGCAGAATACTCTAACCGCTTATTGAGGAGGTCGCGGAGCATTTGGATAACATTTTTCTCGCAGGATTCCATCCGTGGACTAGTCAGTGCGGCAAGGCCATACTGTGATGGGTCTTCGACCCAGGCCTCCAGACAACCGTATTTCTGCCGCGCAAGTTTGGCCATAGGCGGGTCGACCCGATCGAGATATTTGATTATCGCCTGAATAGATAGAGCCATGCTGTATAAATCCAGGCCATAAAAGCCAGCTCGTCGCTCTTTGGGGAGACGTTCATTATGGTCCCTCATCCAATGTACAAACTCTTGCACCTCCTTGTTCCGCCACATCCACGTTGGGAAACGCCTGAACGCCGGTTCTGGCGTCGGATCTAGTTTTGACTTAACACCGGGACGCTGTCTCACATATCGATCGACTGATTCTGCATCGGGCCAGTCGGCTTCCACAGCTACTGTATCGAAGCCGTGGTGTAAAATAAGGTGTTTGGTAATTTCTGCACGAGCCTGGTAGAACTCGGAAGTACCATGGCTGCCGTCACCTATTAGAACAACTTTGTAATTCCCAAATTGATCAAAATGGGAGCCAAAAGATGGATCTCTAATCGGAGGTAGAACCTTCGCGGCAGACTTCATCCGCGAGGAGAGGCTTGAAAGGTGGAAAGCCATGAGGGGAGCGTGTAGCTTTCAAAGCAACTAATATAACAGGAACAACAGCAGTAGCAGCCGTGAGAGTAATTGATGGGCAAATTTATTATGATAACAGTTGATCTTTGCCTCGCATTTATAGTACACTCCTCCTGCGTGGAGCGGCAAATGTCATGTCAATATCATGGCATGTCATACTCAGGTAAGCATGACCTCATCATTTGGTTGCAGCTTCTACATAGTACGCGGTAAATGTTATTTTTTTCCCTACCAACCACGCACTCTCTAACACGGCGGATGCGTTCTGAAACGTCGCAACTATAATGCAATATTCTTCTCTAACAGTTTCTATCAGAAAAATATCGCAGAAGAGGTTGTTTTCTTTATTGACGATGTCGCTCCTTCAGAAATTCCAGGAGTCGATGGAGAGCGTCTATGGAAAGTTCTCCACTGTTACGGACGCTACAAAGTGGGAACCGCCGCCGAAATCTGGAGGCCATAGGGGCCGATATCTCTGGACAGATGCCTTTGGCGTTCTCAATTTCCTGACCCTTTATAAAGAGTTGTCGTTAAGAGGAGATAAGACTGCCGCTGACAACTCCTTGATCTTTGCCCAGCGCCTCATCACTACCGTCCACGATGTCTTGGGTTACACTCGTGATGGTCATTCTCGACTCCCCGGCGCAACCCATGAAGAACCCCTGAAAGGCGGTTTGCGGATCGGGAAAGAAGACGAAACGGGGCCCGATGGCGATGGGCAGTATTTTCATTACCTCAGTATGTGGATGTTTACTCTCAACCGAATGTCGATAGCAACAGGGGATCCTTCCTACAACAGGCAAGCAGTTTCACTCGCAAAGGCTATCCATCCATATTTCTTCCTCAACCGTACTTCGGACAGACCGCACATGGTATGGAAGGTCGCCATGGATTTGTCACGGCCACTTGTTGCAAGCGAAGGGAATCTAGACCCGATGGATGGGTACGTGGTTTTCCGCCTCTTGCAGGCATCTGCTATGAAGTATGGCGACGGAGAAATTCTTAAGGAAGAGATTGGCGATTACAGGAAAGTGATGGCTCGCAAAGGGGATCATTTTGTAACGAGGGATCCTCTCGATCTGGGAATGACGCTTTGGACGGCTCACTGGTTCGCTGGTCGCGAAAGCTGGGCGGACCGCCTGGTAGAAAGATGTTTTTTTCAGCTCCGTAATACTCACGTGGATTACATCCCTTGAAATGATAAAGCTTTGTTCAATTAAGGGATAAAATTTGTTTGAGCTAATTTTATCTGCTCTGGAGCATAGATCGGCTATTCGATGACAATCACTTCCTTGAGATGAATTTGCGGTGCCGTCTCGCATTCAGGGAGTTTGGAATTTGCCTTGGCATAGGTTGTATAACATATAGGGAGGCCAGCAACAATGCAGAAGGATTTTGCAATCGATCCGAGGAGATAATCACCCAGTGGGAGAAGCATATGTCGTCTTTGACTCCAGAAGACCTAAAACCGATTACCAGGGTTATGTATTCAACCGCGTTGATACCCGGGGGTAAGTGGTTCCTCCTTCTAATCCTCAACAGTGGCATCGCCGCGGAACTCCTGCTCGAATAATAAGTATAACTAACGTGAAGTATCTTTCGCAAATAGCTTTCAAATCTCGATATTTGGGTGATGAGCCTATGGATCAAGTCTGATGTATGATATTGTGGGGGGGGAGGGGGAGACGGAAGTTTCATATCTTTACCCTTAAAAAATGTGTATTGATAAGACCTATAGTTATTTCGACAACGAGTGAGTACCAAAGGGTCTCTATCTCTTGCATAGGTCAGAGGACGTATAGTCTAAAACTCCGAAAAATCAAAACGGTGCTCTATTTACAGATCAACCAATAGTAATTCCCCTGGGGCGTCACTTTTTATCTACCGGGTATACCAATAATGTTTCTCCACGGGGTAAGTGTTCGGGGAAGGAAGTATACGACGTATACCGTTCCAATCGCGAGTATCAAGCCCGTCACCTAGGTTAAAATCATTAGCCATCTGAAAGCAATACCGAGAATTTGATAGGTCAAGAGAGGATTGAGTGTATATATTACTTTCTCCAGCCAAGTATGAAACCAGATTGCTGTCATGAGCAGCATCCACCAGCTGAGGCCACCAACAGCCAAGGTGAAATTCCGACCCCATCTTTCAGACGAAGCCCTTTGCACAATCTCATGATGCTTGTTTCTTGGTTCTTCCAGTTCACCTTCTACTACCGACGCTCCTTGCAATTCACAGAACAAGAAAGCACTTGTAAGAACAAGCATGAATACGTGTCCGCTCACATCATGGCCGCCTGTCCAGGCACCTCCTGACGCCTTGCAAGCTGTAGATGTCAATACCACGGCCAACTCAGATATTGAGTCTGTAGACCCTGGTGCGATAGACTTTTCACATCTACCGCCAGTAGCAATAAAGCTACGGTCGATAATACCGGGACCGAAAAACCATTGCGTTGTCAGCCACCAGGCTATTGTCACCAGAATATAACGGCCAGTGGCTTGTCCCACCCTCTTCAGTCGAGCGCCAGGAGATAAAAGTCTGTTGTTAAACGCTGGTTGCGTTAAGAGCAAAGATATGAAAGCCAGCGTAGTCCATAGCCAGCCAACCTTGACGAAATATACATTAAAGATGTTCCCCTTGCGCGCGAAATAATTGACGGGGTTTGTATCCGAATCTGGCGCGACGCCCGGTGAAGAGGATGCGTTGGCAAGGGGTCTTGCGGTTGGAGATATCAACGAGTACAAAGAGCCCAATAGAAGAGTCAGCGGATAAAGAGCGAGTGACAAGGGAGGCGGCTGCGGGAATAACGGTCGCGATGATTTGGGAGCGGTGGATGGTTTCCTTGTGGAGCCATTCAGGGGTACAGCATCTGTCGACGACATTGCTGTTGATATAACACCACCGAATTAGACGTGTATCGAGGAGAGGAAATGGCGGAAACCAGATGAATGGGGCATGTTAATGATGATCGTCCGTCGTGCCACAATCCACCGCGCGCTTTTCTATCTCCCAAATCCTAGATGGACAAATTTGTTTTGACGTTGAATCCGGATGACGTCGTTCGTTGCTCACTAAGCAAAATCACGTGGTATTTTTCTTTTTACTGAACATCGTTCTAGATAGTGCGCACAACGCCTTGAAGTCCCAACTTTTACATCTTATGAATGTGAAATCTTTACTGTAGCTCCTGGCTATTGCAGAAGCTCTACGGACTAGGATTTCAGCTAACGCCGTGTTACAAAAGCCGTTCAATTTTGGCTAGTCCAACTCTTACGACACAACAATCAGCTGGCAACTAATTATATCTTATTACCAGCCATACCGCTCGGTTTGGATTCGCTCAGGGTGCTACAATTTTGCATTCCCAAGAGAAGCTGCAGCAGCAGTTAGCTTATTCACATAGCCAATCCCCCGCCTACAATCCCGCCTCCTCGGTCACCGACGCCCCCAAGGGTGAGGATGGGCTTTGTAGGCAACAGGGTTTTTGGGAGAAATGGCGTTGCTGCTACGTTGAATGCCTAGTTCAAACCGACCTTCTTTCCTAGTCGCACTTGTTCTACATATTGCCTACAATCCGACGGCTTCTCGAAAAAGTTTACCCGGCATTCTTGAATGAGCCTATTACATGAAGGGTATGTACAATGGTGCTAGCTAGCGTTATGAACACAAAGCTGGGGCGTGCCGATTTAAGAATCGTTATGATGTTGGGTCGAAAGTACATCCTTGGATGCCGGGTTAAAGGATTCATTATATTTCCTCAGCTCAGGAATATGTGTTTTCAGGAACGGCAAGATACGGCTGTCGAGGAGGTCGGGCCATGCCAGACCATTAAACTCTCTTTCTTGGAATATATTCGCTTCAAGAGCGGGAAATACCTGACAACCCTGGGCACCAAACCATTTTCGTCTTTTGCAAGACCTTGATTTAGGTTAGCTGAAGACTCTGTACCTCAGTTATGTGACCCTAGCGGTTGGTTGTTGTAACGGAATATGGAGGACTATCAGGCTGCATTGCCATAGCCGCAACATACGGTAGTGCGATCAGTTGGGACCATAAATCTTCAATATGTTGTGTTGGACCCATAGGGGAGATTTGGCGATACCCACAGGCTGTACTGACGAGTCGTGAAGAACCAGAGCACCTAACGCCGGACCGTTTTTCGAGCTGGGAACATCCCGGTTCACGGTTCCACATAGCGAGGCGTAGGTATAATGCATGTAATGATCATGAGCCTGTTGTGCCTTCTAGCTATTAATCTAACCCTGAAATCACAGTGCCATCTAAAAATGTCTGGATCCCTCCTTTGCCGGGTGCTCTGGAATACCAATAGAATTGTTCTTATCGCCCTTGGCCATGCTGGTCTATTTCCTTTTCGAGGTATCATCCGTGTATAACAAATCTCGTCGGTACATCCCATGATACCCTTGGTGACATGATTGCATAGAACAATCAAAATATTCCAGGCTCCGAAGGTCGCTCACCGACGATAAAAGCAAGGAAAGCAAATTAACACACGGGTTACTTCATATGATTGACCGCCCGGGAATCCCATGTAGCTCGCCACATCGTCCTCCCGGTATATCAGCCTTACCCAACGAGAGATCCTATTAGGCCATTCTTCAGGCGCCTTTCCCGTTTCCCCGCTATTAACAGAACCGGGGTAATGCAATTTGAAAGTTAGAAATTGCCAATGCGCACGGATCGTTTACATCTCTGCCTGAGGGGAAGGCTGTAACCGGAGGGGTCAAGTATACGCCCCAAAATCCTGGTCGAAACCAATAAATATAAGTAGGAAGTTAGTCTTCTTCGCTTGCTGGCTCCGCGTTTGTTCTTTTCTTTTCTTCACGTCACTAAAAGCTACCCGCAATTGTTATCCGTTTAATTTGCGACATATACTGCGACAACCGTCGAACTTTCACATACTCGTGCGAATCTCTCCATCTTGGCACCCCTTTTATAGCGAAGCTATCGCAGCAGAACATATGCCTTCAGAAGGTGTCCCGAAGTGCCAGCGTTGTCGCAGGGACCACAAAAGGGTGAGTAATGCATACGACAGTATTTACGGGAGATTCCATTGCTAATGCAGACCCAGTGCTCACCGGAAGTCCGGGCATGGCCAGGGCAAAGATGCGAGCGCTGTGAAAACTATGGATATGAGTGCTCGGAGAACATGATGGCGCGAAGGTCAGCGCAAAGGGATCGTGAATCTGCCCCCACCATCAGCCGTCCTTTCGAGGGCAGACCTGGAAACTACCAACAGGGCGTAACTCGACCACTATTAACACGACCAATTTCATTGACTGAAACAGAATCCATCCAATCCCCTTTCGTTGGGCTGTTCTTGTACCTCAAAAATATCGACTGGCAGACCTTGAGCTGCCCCTCGGCTGAATTTGGATCGGACCCATTTGCTGCAATGTTTCAATCGCATACATGTTTCCCCAATCTCTTTAACCCTCCCCTTGGAAGACGAGGAATGTATCTCGAAATTTTTGCAGAGAGCGAACGGCTAAAGCAGAGTCCCCCCTCGCCGCCGGTACCATATGGCCACTCGCTAGAAAACTCCGTCGTAACGGCCATAGTTCATAGGGTACAACGAGAACAACATCGCAAGGCGATGAACTATAGTTTCGAGGAGCTATCGAGAAGGTGCAGCAATTACATTCGTTACGGTAGTTACTGGAACAGGTTGAGAACTATGCTCAATACCGACGAAGTGCTCCTAATCGACCCAGAGTATTCCTTCGACAAACCCAATCCTGATACCACATTCGAGACCGCGGTATATTTTTGGTTATTCGGCATCCCTGGGTTGAAGGAACTGTGCCAGAAATTGTCAGGGCTCTCTCATATGATCTTGTGTTTAGCGAGAACTCCGCATGATGATCCAGTACGGAATGTTTTGGCCACGCAGATCCTTAATCGCCTTAATGAGGTCCTTGGTTCAGAAGTTGCCTCGCTTCCCCAGCCTTCCCAACCTCGCTACAGTATTAACAGCAACAATAGTAGCCACGATAATGGTCACTCCTACGTGGCCGCCGCCACGATTGGTAGTTCGACTGTGGGACTTCGAGATGCGGAGCCAGAGGATCCCTTTTCATCTGATAGCGTTGCCCTTCAGGCCGGATTCGGAGTCGGCTACGTTTATCAGGGTGCTTGGAACAATTGACCATTGAAAAGCAGTGCTTGTTGCCCATTCCGAGCCCCCTCACCGCTTCGAGTCATTATCCATTGCCCCGCCTACCCGTTGGTTTGGTTGCTTGAGTGGCTTCATTTCCAATTCCGATTTCAGTTCCATTTTCTCTTTTTTGAGTCTGCATTCCTTTCCATTCTTCTGGGTGAGCGGTTCCGAATTGAGGAACGCCAATTCTCCTAAACCCTAAATTTTTAGTCTTGAAGTGCGTTGGTCCGTGGGTCTTAGGGATGATAGATGTTCACCATAGTTCGTATTATATGCATTAAAGTTTTTTCAATATAGTAAAGGGTGTATTTTTGGATTTACTCCTATTCCATCTAGATTGGGTAAGCCACCTCGGGTGCGTCCGTAGGCTGCCTGGGAACAAAAGCAGGAAGGACTTGCGCCCCCTTCAATCATGTACAAAAATGCCTAACTAGATTATCTCCAGAGCGAATCCGCGGAGAGACCAATAAACTCGAGGTATTCTCGTTCCGTGGATTTTGACAGGCAGAGAGGCGCAAGAAGAAATGTATGGTGTGTCCAGCTGGTTGTCCATCACTACCAGGAGCGCCAGAAACAACATGGAGGAAATTACGTTCAGTATTCCCTTTCGTCTTCTCGCGCAATCTTAAGGTTTCGGCAAATGAAAGTGATTCCACTAATAGGCGTCTCACACACATTAGAATTTAGGATGGAGGCGTTATAGAAAGTTGCCTAAATCCCTGCATGTACAAGGCATGTGCATGTACAGGTACGTACGAACTAGGGCCCCCACGAGCAGGTGAATTAGTTAGCTAGCGAAGTACTCCGTAGATGCATCTGGTAGATAACTTGATACATATTCATAATAACATGAGAGCCCTCGGCTCGGCTGTCAGCAAACCAGGGAGGGAGAAGCACTATACTGGCGGCTGTGCGGTATTCATCACAAGACCTCTCCTGGCGCGTTCCTAGAATGGCGTTCAGATATCCCTACTACTTTTTAAACTTGTTTCTGGGATCATACCTTCCGCCTAAGCCATTCCTTGGATAGCAGGGTGGCGGGAAAGAGGCGTGAGAATGAGGTGTCATCCTAGACTAGAACAATGTCCGCACCCCCACACGGAGAATATATAGGCCTTTGTGTAGTAGGTTTAATCGATTACCGCTGGTTTGAAATAGATTCACGCCCAATGGATATGCTCGCTCGTCATGTTGGTGTACCGATATTCGGGTAGTTATGTAGAAAGTTGTGGGTCTTGTGATATCAAAGCTTGTTCGCAACCTGGGGGCTGGCCTATTATGTTAAGATTGATATAATAACGGTCTGCAATGCTAGCCGCTTAGCAAGTGCCAGAGAAGGTAAGGAAAGTTGTAAGGGCAAAGTGGGGTCGAATTTGACCTGTCCTGTCCGAAATATCGTTCCCAGGAGAGAAGGCTTTTGCTCACCGCTTGCAATATCGCCATGACTGGATCGAGGCTGCCAGGGTGCAGGGATGGACAGGAATGTATTCCTACAATATAACCCGGAATGTGCTGTGCAAGTCTCACCACAAAGGCTATTTCGCTCATCTCGTCGCTAGTGAAGAATTGACTCCAGGTAAATGCAGCAGGGAGAGTTTCCATTGCCCTATTTGAGCTTAGAATGCTAAGATAATGTCCAGGATCTCGGCGTGAAACAAAGAGTGGCTGATGAGCCCTCAATTTTGTCAAAAGTTGTTGGTTATCGAGGGCTGATCGGGGAACAACAAAGAAATCAACCAAGCAGCCCAACAAAGGAAGAAGACGTCATGCGTCTGGGGACGCAGGATGGGTACGTAGTAGATCCATAGGATAATGGGTACTTGGTACTGACCATACAGTCAGTTTGCGACTTTCTTGCACATTCTCGTAGACCGAGAAACAATTGTACATGTACCATACGTTGGTACATGAACCATTCACGCCTTGCAAAACTAAACATCTTTTTTTTTTTTCTTAGGTCCAATTGTGTTCATTCCGCCATTCCGAGTGCAGACTTCCAAGGCCGTTAATTGTTTAAATCGTCTTACCCTTTTGCTTTTGATTCTCTTAGGCAATGCTCTTTGTCGAGGGAGTAGCAATCCGAGTCCGGGAGAGGTTCCGAACCCAATAAAAATGAACATTTAGGACACCTGCCGCCTGAATTCAAATAACCGGCTGTCATCAAGCCATAACAAACACACGTGGGCAGGCCCAGGGCAAAAATAAAGGACATGCCCTAATCCGGCTTGCTGGATCCGAAAACATTTTCACCCTCTGCATAACTAACACGATACGGAGCATCCAGGGGACAGGATGGAAATGCCCATCGTAAAATTTCTTTTTCTTATGGGTCGTTTTCATTGGACGACTGTACGGTACTTTCCCGTCATCCTGAATAAGCTGTAGTATGCGCTTTGATCTCCAAGCAGAGGGGAGAAGCCTTGGCAAGAAAAAGCTGTCCCGGTGGACTGGATAGCCGGAACGGGTTCAGTTCTTCCCCGACCAATGAGAATCTATCAGCATTTGAGGCACATCACTGCATTTTAGTTCGGGATTGGGTTCCCGGGGCGGTACACGTTTGTAAAACAACGCTGGGAATGTGTCCTGAAGCTTGTGAATTTCAGTGGATAGCCTGATTAGGGGAATTGGAAACATTCCACCTACTTTTTAACCTTTCCAGCGGCGAATGTAGAGAAGGGAGGATCGGTGGCCTTGCAGCTCCAGGCTGATCACGAGCGGCAAAGTCCTGTTGTTAAAATGCATAGGTTATGGAGGAGCTACGGGAGTAGCAGATGATCATGGGGCTCTCCAAGTCACAATTAGAGAAATGCTGTTGGTTCTAAAATATCAAATGATAGACAACCAATTCTCGTAACGGATTGGAAGCAGCGATTTTCTCACGCAATGGAGCCATGATATTAGGGTGGCTATGTTATCAAAATTCTCATTTGCATCAAAAACTATCCAACGTGGTATCACTATCAAGATATTCCTGGGCACAAAAACAAGCGGTGTTGCTAAAAAATGGAGATGCTGTTCTGTGCTGATAACTCCGTGGACAACTCCCGAGGCGCAGCCGCAAAGTCTTTGGGGACTCCAGATCCAGGAATCCCTTCGGGTTGCTCCCCACGCTTCCTGCAGTGCTGCAAACGGATTACAAAAAGGGCCGTATCATGCAATTTTTGCGGATAATCAGGAGGTTGGGATTCATAACTCGACAAGGTCTTTTGGCTTGCGTGAGAGCCTGATCGTATTGGACTCCCATTTCACGCAGGAAAGGGAGTAGAGCCGATCTTGTTACGGTTATTTTGACTTCGAGTCTTCGTTTGTATTGGCGAGACCGCTACGTGGCTCTATAGCGTTTAGGATTTCGTTACCAAAATAAAAGGAGGCGTAGCTGGGGACCACAATCCAAAATCCACTGATTCCATAAAGTGGATTGGTTAACTAGATGACCAAAAGCCGATGCATGACATGATGGTGTAATATTAATAATGAGAGCCTTACTTTGGAATGATCCACAGGAAGATTAAAGTCCAGAAGCTGTTGTGCCCTACATTGTCGAATCCAGAACAGGCTTCATTCAGGCCTGAAACATCGGAGAGATATTATTAGCTAGTGGAAGAGTAAACAGTGGCCGAATATTTTCGAACACTCAGGGTGGTGTAGATAGCGACAAGCCATCACAAGCTTTGGAGAACTCACCATATAGCACTGTTTTACTGACAGTCATTACACTACCACTGAAAACCACCAGCAGCGCAATCGCTCCTAACCTTCCGCCGATTGATCTCCGTGGGGCAAAGAAATCACCCTTTGTCGCTGACTTGCCTTTGTTCTCGCCCTTATAGTTGGATGTCGTCCCGTAGTTAAAGAGCACAAACAAATAGAAAAGGTAGCACGCAGTTTCAACTAGGTTCATCAGGCTTTGCGCACTTGTGAACCCATTTCGGTTGTTCCATGCAGGCCAGCCATAGATATAGTCGATGGTGCCATAGAGGGCATACGGACTCCAGATGTAGTGCAGACTCCCGCCGGGCATGCTATGTGGTCGAAGTAAAACATAGCTAGCATCCCAAAGAACGACTGGAATTGATATACATAGCCAAAGTGTCACGATTACTGATGGAGTGTGTCGCCATTCACGAGCAACAACATATCGATTCTGATCCTTTTCTGCGTGCGTATTTACGCCGGTTGCACTTGGCTGGGGGAAGTCCCTTGGATGATGGCGCGTGGACACCATAGTGACCCTCTTCTCGAGACGATGTCACAAAAAGAAGACAGAATTGGAAAAGATAATTGGGGGGCGAGGTTCGAAGATTGCACTGGATGATATTTGATTCGAAAGCCCAGTGGGTAAATCAAGCAAGTATCTTGCCGGTGATAGACCAATACGAAGCGGCTTGGGCTACCTAATCCAAAGGTAAAGGGTGCTGCTTAATAGGCAAACTCCATGAAGGACACCGGGTAAGTAATAATAATAGGTAAATCAACCGTTCAATGAAAATGGAGTCCGTCCTTGGTGTGGTGTGGCGTCACTGGGTTACATCAAGCGATGACTAAAGGAGAGAATTTACAAGCGGGGCATCCCTAGAAGCTCTAGAAAAGCTAGCTGGATTTTGGGAGGATATTTCTATCATCCATTGTGCTGATTTAAATTCTTGAAGGATATGTAGCCAATTCAGTACCACGAACGACGACGTCCTTTGTCGTTGTGGTGGCTGTAAGTCACGTGGATTTCGGCAATCGCGCTTAAATTATGCGACGTTTCCCTCGGAAGGGGATGGGATACCATTCTCGCCTCTTCTCACGCCGGTCCTTAGCCCTATATTTTCCGATGGAAAGAAGGAGTGTGTGATATTTCCTATGTCGAGGGTATACCAATTATACTACAAAACAGAATGCGACTTCACTTCTCGCTGATAATGAATGACTCAAATGTTCTCGAGTCATATGGTTCAAGACCCTTATAGCAGTGTCCAGCTGTATATTGGTTCTGAGACACATTCAACAGAATCTTGAACTAGGATTGGCTCCATGTTTGACGCATGGGCTACTATGCAGAAAAAAAGGGGAAACAATGACAACGCTGTCGTTATATCGAGCGACCTGAGTCCAAGGACACATTCCAGCTACAAAATGCTAAAGTCAAAATAGTAACACCGACAGGTCCCCATCTGAGACCGACCTACCCGTTCCTTGCCAGTTCGGCACCAGATTCTATCTCTGTGAAACTTGTTAGAGAAGACGGCAACTTGATGACAAACTTCTAGCTAGCATCCAACCATGATGAGTTTCTAGATCCCACCAAGGTCCACTGGTCA